CTCCCACCAGACCAGGTTGCTCAAAACCCCATCCAGCCTGGCCTTGAACCCCTCCAGGGATGGGGAATGTAACTTCCATTCCCATAAAGGAAGAAGACTAAGATACAATGCCAGAAGCTCAGCTGTGCTGAAGCTTTTTAACTAGGATTTGCAATCTCTTAAAGATCACATGCAATTAAATTTACCAGAAGACCTCGCATAAACTTAGGCCAAAATGTCTTGCTACTATGAATTATATCACTAAAGGCAGTGGAACTGCTCATGAAAATATTTAACTTGTGCTGGGTTTTTAATTGATGGCTTATTTATACATGAAAGAGCAAAGATAAACAAGTGACTTGAATTATGTAGACAGGACTTCGGCTTAATAATAAAAAAGCGTTACACTGACTTTTGTTCTTTTCCTTCCAAAACCTGTTGTTTCATGTTTCATTCCACCCACTACTGTAAATTAATATTAGTGTTCTAAATTAGGGGATAAAAAGTGAAGTGCAACAGGAATAGGTTTGGGGAAGAAAAAGTCACTCTGTCAGACAAAATGTTATGCGGTGCCGTGTACAATACAGCCAGTAATGATACCAAACTCACCTCCATTTTGCTTTATTTTGCATTTGGTATTTATTTTCTCCTTGAGGAAAACTTGTGATTTGCATTATTTAGGCTAAAATGCTAGAGAAGAAAGCCATACTGAGGAAGAGGAGAGGCTTTGATTTGGCTTTTGTGTCTGGTGGGAACATTTTCTCAAAATGTAGGTGCTATTTCCTGTAATCAAGGGCTTTCCAGAGCCTGATAATAATTTCCCAGCTGTATCATTTTGGTGAATTATTTTTTAGCCTTGGGTTATTTCATGACTGGTTTTGCATATTAAGAATGGGAGAGGATCATATTCATCTTGATGATAGAAAACAGGGAATAGAACTCCCACAGCTCCCTCTCCCTTTCCCTCCACCTTGTGGAAAGTTTGGCTTTGTGCTAAAGCGTGAAAAAAGCCTTGACTGCAGTATGTCAGGCATATTTCAGCTCGATTTGTGTCAACCCTAATAAGTCAGCTGACAAGGTAATAAATTGGGTGTCTGTTTAAGACCTGGCACCTGTACAGGAAATAAAAGGGGATTTCAGTTGCAGGAGGTTTGCTTTGTTTTGCAAATGGACCTTTTCTCAAGGCTCCTCTACCTCCTCCCCCCATCTTCTCTTTACTGAAATCACGTTATCAAAATGTTTATTTCAATTGTGACTGGAGCCAGTTTTTCATCTGGAAAAGAAAGCTCTATGAGTATCCTTGGAAATGGAAATCCTTATGCTTTCCACTCTGAAACAAAGGCTTACAGAGCCTTTAATTATTCTTGTATCCTGCTGTTACATATATGGTCTGAATAATTTCAAATTATTGAGGAGAAACTGCCTTTGTTCAACATTTTGAAACTTTACATTCATGCAGTTTGAACAAGGCTAGGAAAATGGAATTTATTTAACCCATGGAAACTCTATTAGTAATATCTCACTATTTTTAATGATAATATAACCTTGTGACCAGGGTGTCTTAACATGTTTCCCTCTGTGTCTGACCTCCAAGGATGCAAGTCAGTGAGAGCCCCTGAGAGTCGAGCTTTTGTAGGTCCAGCTGTAGAGCTGTGTTTTTAGCTCAGGGGCTCCAGGTCGGTTCCCAGTGTGACATGAAGTGGTGACTGCAATAGCAGTGAGAGTTGAGGTGATTTCCTTGGGGTCTTTGCTTTTGATACAAAGATATTCCTCCATGCTCGGAAGAGAGACAACAGCTACTGTCTCTGACCTTTTTCCCTTTTGGTGACTGTCCCAGGCACCATGAAAAAGGTTTCCTAAAATGTTGGTTTCAGACTCCAAGGCTGGTGTGTGAGTTGGAGGAAACAAAACAGGACCTTGTGTTCATTGAAATGGGCAGCTGCCTTTTCTTCCAATTGAATTTTCTCCACCTTTTCCCTCCTTCATTGTCCCACAGGGATCTACGATAAGTAGATCTTCATTTCCACATGGCGAGTTCATCTCCCAGAATTTCCTTCTTGGACTTTTTTAATTAAAGGAAGTGATAATCTGACCCAGTGGAAGGAGAAAGGGGGAAATGGTTTATTAAAACAAATATTATCACCTTTGAATAAAGTATGCATGAACTTTAGAAACAAGGAGAAGAGGATTCTGTCTCAAAGTCAAAACGGTTGCCTAAGTGCATACTTTGCACATAGTAAGAAAATTTTCAGCAGAAATGTTCAAAATCCAAGAAGATAAATCTATGGAATGTATATAATAAGGTTTTCTATACAGTCTGTCTGTTCTAGGATTTATTACTCCTTATGCAGAGGATTGGACTAGATGACAAAAGTCTTACCTATCCACTTCTGTCATATTTATGGTTAAAACCTAACATTTAGATGAGGAAAAAGTTTTCTTAAGTTCTCTTCAGTATTTTCAAGAAGTGAAAATGGAACTTGAGGGTAGAAAAAAAAAAGGGGCAATATAAACCTTTAAAACTCCAAGTGAACTTTCAGAACCGTAATTGAATGCAAGCTCTGGACTTTCCTATCTATCACGCTGTAAATTTTTAAAAAATACTTAGCTAAGCAACTCTTCTTTCTCCAGCATTGCATAGTGGTATGATGGATTACTCTAAATTAATTACAGTAATCAGCTAGTGTATATGTGCTGTAGAGTTGTGATTCAAGCATGAAGGAAAGAATGTACAGCAAATTACATATATAAAAAATGCGTTGCAGGGTTAGCTCAAGTTTTACACCTTGGCCTCAGCCTGTGGAAAAAAAGAAAGAAAAAAAGGACTCAAGGGTGAAATACTGAAAGCTGATCAAAAATGGAGGAAATGTACCAGTTCACATACCTTTGGATGTACTGCAAAGGCATTATATGTTAATAAAAGCAAAAGAATAAAGCAAGAAAACAGTACCTAATAATAACTGATACTCTATGTTGCAAGAGGTGTTTTAAATTTCCTGGTCATTGAAAAGATGTTAAGAAATGCCCATTTCTTTGTGTTTGAATAATATCAGCTCCCTTCTGACCTGTTGTGAAAAGGATTGAGAATTTATACTGAACTTTACAGATGCCTCATGAGGTGAATTGCAAAAATCTGGTTGGACAAATATAATCTTCTTTAAAAATATTTATAGAACACAGCTCTTATGAAAATTAAACATGTTCCAGGTGTGTATGGTCCAACTTCTGGGCATGGCTAAGTTCTTTTTTGAAGTGGTAGATACACCTGTCTAGTGAAAAGAAATTCTTCATCTGCCAGCTGCTAGAAATGAAACTTCATGGAGTTTGTTGTGTTTTGGTTGTCCAAGAGAAAAACTGGGATGACGGCAGTAAAAGTAGGAATGAGTTGCAGGTAAGATGAGGCTGTGGAAAAGATATTAGTTCTCTTCTTCTGGATCAACAACTCCTTGTAATGCTTCAGATTCTTGGGATAAAGTGGTAGATGCGATAGAAGGCAGTGACACCTCTGTGATACCTCTGTGCAGTTTGTTACCACCTCTGCTCAAGGTAGCATCTTTCAGGTATGCCATCTGCAACCTCTATTTAAAGTTCCCTGAACTGGTATCCTTGGTCTTCCTTCAACCATGAACAGGATTTATAAATTTCTGAAATCTTGCGCAACTTTGCACAAAGATGTTGTTCTGCTGATAATTCCTCCACCCATCCTCCCAAAAAAACCCCCCATCGAACAATAACAAACAGCAAAACATCTGAGAAGTAGATTATTATTTTCTGCTGTAGATGATGGTGCTAATGTAAATCTTATTTCTGACCCTTGGGCCCTGAAATGAGGTGCATTTCATCCATTGAGATATAAAAAAGGATATGTGTGACTTTCCTACAGTTTGTGTCTTTTCTCTACCTTTTTTCCCTACTTGGCTGTTTTCAGAGGCTGCCCCGGTTCAGTTCACCACAGTCCCATAAACATTTTCACAAACACAGCAAAGGAGGGTAGCCAGAGGGGATGTGAGGAAGCTGCTGCAAATCATGCTGTGGGCTCCCCTCTTCTGCAAAAATGCCTGTTTAAATATACATCAATCCACGGATGAGGCACCATTTCACAGCCACCTAAGGCAATTGTTAGCAGGGCCACCCCAGTGCCCACAGAGTCCCACCTCTCTCATCTGTCCAAAAACTCACCCAGAAAAAACAATCAATTTGTTTGGACACAGCTCAGCCTCCAAATGGGTGAAATGTGGTGGGGCACTGAGGGGAGGGTGTGACTGTGGCAACCCAAATTTGTGTAAACCTAAACAGCTGTGGAGAGTTACCACTGAGTCTGGCCTGCCCATCCCAGAGCTACTTTTTTTCTCCTTCTCCTGGTCTCAGCACTGACCTGTGTTAGGTCAGGGTTAGCTGTTTATTTCTGCTGCTTTTTTATACCAATTTCCTTTTAGCTTCTTTTCAGTGATATTGGGCTTTGTCTCCTCCTGCTGAATTTATCCTCTTTTAAAGTGAAGTGATATGCTGAGCAGATGGAATATCTCACTGCTCCCAAAAGCCCTCTCACCTTCCATGCCCTTCCTTACTGTGGAAATAGCCAAGGTATTTTAATGTCATACCTTAGCGTTTGAGAATAATTGCTGCTATGCTTCAGTCGTTTCTGACTTGGGAGATAGCAAGGATGGGTTTCTTCTGGATTTGGGAGAAGAGGAACACTGTAGCACCTGCAGAGCACAGGAGTGCCTTTGAGTGTGCCTAATGCCACCACACAGGTAGTGAGTGGGGTGGGTTGGTTCTAAAAACCTCATAGACCTTAAGCAAAGGTTCCACTGAAGTCAATAGCACATTAGTTGACAGAAGCTGCAGAATTTGGAGGCAGGTTTTAAGTGCTAGAAAAAGACTCCTGTCTGATAAATGGTAAATATGTAGTAAAATGTGCTAGAAATGTGCTGTCTGATAAATGGTAAATATGTAGTAAAAAGGTTCTGCAATTAAAAGTGACAGAATTATTGATAAAAATTTTTGGATCTCTTTTTCAGTGTTTTATTCAGAAGCATTGACTTAATTAGTTATATCTACATATGGAATAACTACAGACTCTTTGAACTGCCCTGGGACTCGCCATGGACGTGGTACTTGACGTTCCTGGGAGTAGACTTGGCGTACTACTTCTTTCATCGCATAAGCCATGGTAAGAGTTAACAAGTTTTTAATGCATCAAAATACAAAATATATTATTTATTGTTAATAAAATAAGGTATTTGGTTTTGTTTCAATGCTTAATCTACTTTAAGCATATATATTTGCTTTTCTTCCCAAGGATTAGCAAAGACTCGCTTTTACTTTGAGCACGGAAAGCAGTTTATATATCCTATGCTGTATAAGAAACTTGGATTTTGTGAAAAGAGGGAATATCTTTTAGAAAGCAGTATCACAGCAAAAGTGAAGAATCACAGGAAAAAAATAGGAAACACATAAAAGTTTAGGGTTAGCGTTCCTATATGCCTGTATGAAAAACGCAGCACAGTACACATAACTATTTTGAAAGAAGCTTTGTGGATGCACAAAATGGAGAGCAGTAAAAAGCAAGGTGGCCAAAATAATGATAGGGCAGCTGGCTAAAATAATCTGTTTCTGTGTGGTTTTAAAAAACTTTGTAAACATTCAGTCATTGTTTAATTCATAAATGAATAAAAATGTTTCTATACTTATATATATGGAGACAGATATACATGTATGAATAAGGTATTTTAGAAATCCTGTCTATGATTAACACTTGACTATGTAAACGTGAGCCTTGCCTTGTTTTTGTTTAGAAGTATGTTTTTAACCCTACTTGTTTTTATACATGGAAAAGCACAGTTTAGAAAGGATTTAACTGTTATTTATTGTAACAATGGGGTCCAAGTAAATCACACCAGTTATATCTGCACATATATATTGCAAAGATGCAATAATATCAATCCCTATGTATGTGTCTCATTACATATTACTGTTCTATAGTTATGATGTATTTTTGCTCCAGCCTTTTATATCCTACCTGAAAATGCAATAACACCTTCTATCAATCCAAATATTGGGCCTGATCTAAAGTCCGTAGCAATGAAACCGGAATCTTGTTGTTTAAGAGAGTTTGGACTGGGCTACTCGAGGGAGAGCACCCACAGCTCCCAAAAGCTGTGGGATTTAGTGCCGGTAGTTTATGTAACGCGCTTTCAGAAAGGGAAAATGTTTTGATGCCAATAGGTCAGCGGAATATATGGAAGTAGGTAAGAAAGGATCCTGAGGCGCTGCGGGGAGCGGGAGGGAGGAAGGGTCCCTCCCCGGTGGGGATGGCAGGCGGGGGTGAGAACAATGCAGGGTGGGTGCAGGGGGACAACAATGGTGGGGGGGACAGGGGCGGGA